TGGTCCTCCTACCGCACCATAGGGCACTCCCAAAGCACACGGCCCCCCCGTGATCACCGGAATGGTCAGCTCGGGGCTGGGCCCTTGCCAAAGTCCTGGGAGACCAGGGGCGGAGGAGGACGGGCTTTAGCGTCCCCTCCCCTACATCCTAAGCCCTTGGCCAGCTGGGCTCCCGGAGCCCACCCCTCACTCAGCCTCGTGTTCCAGGAGAACGGCCCTTTGTATGTCTCATCTGCCTGTCGGCCTTCACCACCAAAGCCAACTGCGAGCGGCACCTCAAGGTGCACACAGACACGCTGAGCGGTAGGTGGGGCTGGGAAGGGGAGAGGGGGGGGCCCCCACCCCAGGGCCCTGATACCACAGCCTGCCTGCAGGTGTCTGCCACAGCTGTGGCTTCATCTCCACCACAAGGGACATCCTCTACAGCCACCTGGTGACCAACCACATGGTCTGCCAGCCGGGCTCCAAGGCGGAGATCTACTCCCCAGGGGCCGGACACCCCGCTGCCAAGCTCCCCCCAGGTGAGGCCCTGGGTTCCCCACGGGGACGGGGAAGGGATGGGTTGGCACTGACGGCAACCGGGGGTCAGTTTCATCCTTGGCCCTCCACCACCTCTACCCAGCCCAGTTCTGCCCTTCCCACCCTACCCCTCCTCAGGTCTGGCCCAGGTAGGTCCTGCTCCAGCCCTGAAGTGTGGCCCATGGGGTCTCCCTGCAGACAGTCTGGCCAGCTTCCAGCAGCACACGGCCCCCCATGGCCCCCTGGCTTCCACCGACCTGGGCCTGGCGCCCACCCCATCACCAGGACTGGACAGGAAGGCTCTGGCTGAGGCAACCAATGGAGAGGCCAGAGCGGCCCCCCAGAACGGGGGCAGCAGCGAGCCCCCGGCGGCCCCCCGGGCCATCAAGACAGAGGCTGCGACGGAGGAGCCCGAGGCGGAGCCAGGGCCCCCAGCCGCCGCATCGAGGACACCCTCACCGCCCAGCCCTGCCCCTGCCAGGGTGAAGGCAGAGCTGTCCAGCCCCACACCCGGCTCCAGTCCGGGCCCTGGCGAGCTGGGGCTGGCGGCCGGCACGCTCTTCCTGCCGCAGTTCCCCGCGGCGCCCCCGGCCTCAGAGATCCTGGCCAAGATGTCGGAGCTGGTACACAGCCGGCTGCAGGCGGGCGCGGGGGCCCAGGCCGGCCTCTTCGCTGGGGCTCCCAAGGGCGCCACGTGCTTCGAGTGC